TTTTTAACGTTAATTTATGAGAAATATCTAAAAAAAACAAAAAAAAAATATCACGTATGTCAAAAGGAAAAAATAAAATATGCAAACTCGTAACTGATTTAAATTAGAAAAAGGAAAACATGTTAATTAATCTTTGTTAGCTTACCAAGATTGCCGAATAAATATTTTTAAATTCGATTTCCGCTAAGGAAAGAGAAAGAAAAATAAATGACTTTAGAAAAACGGTAAATTACGTCAACTCTTTATCATAGTCAGTGCGTCAATGGTTTCTTTTTTTATACTCACCAAAGATTACTCATTTAACGAGTGTTGTAAGTATACACTGATAAGCTAATCAAATAGAAACAGAAAAAGAACCGGCATTTAAGGTGACTAGTATTTTTAAATACAATATGCGAACGAATTACAATTGATATTATAATAGAATATGTCTATTATATATTTTATTTTATAGAAGATAATACTTTACATATAATTATTTTTTCTTGTCTTCAGTTGATGTGAATAATTGTTGAATCTTAAAAATGTAATAGATGTTATATTTTTTCATAATAAATAGAAAAGATAATCGTCTATGTCTTAGTTGGTAAATAATCGTAAGAAAGATAGAGATAAGTACAGATGTTTTTCAGTATTTTCACTTTGGTATTATTTAGATAAATGATTATACTAAGAAGTCTTCGTCAAACTTAAATTTGATATAATAAACGCGCCATATTTGATTACATATTAAGTACTACGAGTTTGTTTTTATAAATATTTTCTTAAACGATATACATTTGATATAAAAAAAAGCTCCTTCCTCTAGTTCTTATCATTATTTGAATAAACTTCTGTGATAAAAAGTTTAGCTTATTCTTTTTGATACAATTCTTATCAAATGATTATTTTCTCTGAATTATATACGTACTTAGCAACTTATAGTCAAAATATAACTTACAAGAAAAATATTAATAGTTGTTTGAGTAAGAGATGCGTAAATTCAAAATTTGTCTAGACTGTGATCTGACAATACCCATTTGTCTCTAAGGTGGGTCAAAAGTCACTCTACCGAGAAAAAAATTCAATATTACTATTACGTTTTGATATAACGAGCCGATCTTTTTATCAATGACAGGGATATGTTTAAAATAAAGATACGTTTAGAGAGACACTTTGCTAAGCATATTATTATTTTTCCTGATTTATGAATGAGTGAAAGTTGTTGTTGAGAATACTCGTGACAATAAACAAAGGGTCTGCCTAGGCTTATCCTTATGAATATAAACATTTAGCATGCCTCTATCACAGGTAAAAAAGCAGCTCGTTTGCTCAAGCTGTAATGGAGATATTGAATTTTTTTCTCAATAAAAAGGCTTTAGGCCCACCCTGTATTATTTAATATTTAGGAAGACATTTATACAACCTTCAAAAGAGTTTTTAAAGAGAAGTACAGTATTATATACTATGAATTTTAGATAAACTTTGAATGATAAGAAAATCAATGTATGAAAATCTCTAATATTTACAGAAACTTTTTGATTGTTTACCAAAGACTTTTAATTCAATTCTTACTATAAATTATCCTGGAATGATTGGCAAATTAATAATATTTTTTCAAAAATATTTCAAAAAAAATTGTGTTCTATAAAAAATGAATACATTTTCAACACCACGAGAGTAACGTTTACAATTCATTTTTCTAAAATACAGCTAAATTCAGCACATAAATTACATAGCATAATATAGATAAAAAGCTATAATCGTTTTTATTGTTTATGACAAATAACAATATTTGTAATAAAATAATTATTTGATACGAACTCAAAAGTGATAAATGCAGTTCTATTCATCTAAAAAAGATTGTAACATTTATCGTGAGAATGAACGAAAGTGAATGCAAATGACGAATTATACAATTAAGTTCTGTTGTCATTCACAATCACCCCTAGATCCTCACATATATCATGGAAAACAGTTAATAGATAAAGAACAAGCGTATCAATTTCGTCTGTCATTTGAAGATGCATCGATGAGATGAAAGATCTATAATAGGCCTGTTGACCACTAATGTCTTACGAAAGTATAAACAGCTATTTATATCAATTAGTGTTGCTTTTAACTTAATACATAAATTTTGGATTAAAAAAACATTTCATATGAAATATATGAATTAAATTAACAGTGTATAGTTTATTGAAAGATAAAGTTAAATAAAAGGATACAAAAAAAGAAGTTTTTGTTTTTAAATTTGTCCAGCACCACCATCAGCAAAAAGTTCAATACCAGTTACATATGAACTATCATCTGAAGCTAAAAATACTACTGCTTTGGCAATTTCAATTGGACGACCAAGTCGTCCTAAAACAGTTGATGATGTAAGGCTATCAGCAATAGCTTTTGAAGCTTCTTTTGTATTTCCCAAATTGTGTATCATATGAGTATCAATAGGGCCAGGGCTAATAGCATTCACTCGAATTTTATGTTCTTTTAAATCAACACAGAAACAACGAGCAAATGAACGAACGGCAGCTTTAGTTGCAAAATAAACACTTGATGCTGGTGCTCCTTTGATTGAAACAACTGATGCATTCAATATAATAGATGCACCATCATTTAAAAGTGGTAAAGCTTTTTGAACAGTAAAAAGTACACCTTTAACATTAATATTAAACATATTATCATAAAATTCTTCAGTAATTGATTCTAATGGCATCGAACTGGCAACACCAGCATTTGCAAAGAGTATATCTAACTTGCCCTTTTGTTCTTTAATTACTTTATAAATTTTATCAAGATCATCTAATTTTGATGAATCACCTTGAATTGCCGAGATATTTTTACCAATTTTTTTTACTGCTGCATCAAGTACTTCTTGACGACGACCAGTGATAAATACATAAGCACCTTCATTAATAAACTGTTGAGCAGTTTCTAATCCAATACCATCTGATCCACCAGTAATTAAAGCAATTTTACCATCAAGTTTACCCATATTTGTATTATAAGTATGTCTGAATGAATACGACGTTATTTACAATAATATATATACGATTCTTTTTTTGCCTTGTCATGATGATTTAGTATATCTTTCTACTTATTCAGTAGTGAAAGGAAAGATAAACAAATAACAAACACACATATTTAAGTACACTTCTTTATTATTCTTATTAAAATAAACCTAGACATTTGTCATGAACAGACAATTCATTTAATTTCATAGGAAAAAAAATAAATATTTTTTCAAGTTAAAAAATCTAAATATAACATGCAAACAAATGCCTTTGTATACATTCCTTTATGTAAATTATTATATTTTCATATAGAATAGATGTAGAATATATACCAAAATAGTTGATTGTGATTTTTAGATCTTGAATATTTATTTCAATGAAAAATTTGTTTTCATACAATGACAAATGTTAATAAGATGAAATTACAAAAAAAGATTGATGTTTAATATGGTATTGGTTTGTTTTGTCGTGCCCATTCCTTTTCGATTTCAGGAAATTTAATCGGTGGAATAAGTCCATTCTCACGCCACATATCTGGTGGTACTTCTTCAACATGTACCTTAAAAAGAAAAATAAGAATAGATTAGAAATATAAGGAAAATTTCATTTCTTACCTCCCAATCATAACCTTTTTCTTTAACGAATGGTGCTAAAACATTTTCATATTTTTCTGAAAATTGTTTTTTTCCTTCTTCACTTGGAATTTGTCTGGCGAGATGTTGTACAACTACACGAACAAATTTATCTGTTGGTTTACCACTAACAAAAAACGATTCATTTTCAACAGGTGTAAAGAGAACCACAACATAAAATGCAGGTAAACCTACATCAGTGTATAGAGCAGTTATACGTTCGGAAATCTTCTGCTTGTCTGAAGTTGAAAAGGCAGACAGTGGATGATAGATTCGATGTAAAGGCATTTTGCTTGTACAATATAAATTATAACGTATGAACAAGTAAAGGTATTTTATACTTTCGATTTTACCTTCGTCATCATGTATCTTCACTGTATAATCGGCTGTTGTTTCATCCTTCACATATGCTTCATCATTATGTTGATGTGTACATAAGCAAAAAAAATGCTTCGTCATCGGTCATTCATATGAATATGACGTGTGCAAATTTTCGTACATTAAAA